ATTTTAATAAAATATTAAATTATTAATTAAAATTTATCAAAAATTAAAAAATATGAAATAAAAATATTAATTTAAGAATAAAAATAAAGATAATAAAAAAATTCATACCCACAAGTACCCGTGAATAATACTTGTCATGAGTTGGATTCAATTTTTCAAACAAATACTCACAAGACTAATAAATATATTTTTTTTTTGTTACCCGTTGATTAAATAGGCCGATGTTGGATAGTGAGATATTCATACACGTGAGTATCATTTGTAAATGAAATTATGTTTTAATTATTTTTTTAGTGTTATGTAAATAATTTAATTTTTCTTTTCTTTGCTAATATTTATTTTTTCTTTTAAGTGTATTTGAATGATTGATGATATATTTTTTATAACTTTTTATTTTTAATAAGAAATTATAAAAGCTTGCAGGGATTTGCATGTATCCATTTAACTTAGCAGGTACTGTGCGAGTATCGAGGCAAGTGTGAATATTTAGTATCTATGTCAGCTCTGTGAAAAAAATTAATTTAATATTTAATATAACAAATAGTAAATAAATATTATAATTATGACTAGATTTCACAATTATTTAAAAATATAGAAATTGATGAGTTTATGATTGAATATTTTTTCATCAGTGAAAGAAATTTTCTTAATTAATTTTTTTTAGTGTTATGTAAATAATTAATGATACATTTTTTTATAACTTTTTATTTTTAATAAAAAATCATAAAAGCTTGTAGGTATTTGCATGTATTCATTTAACTTGGAAGATACTTGTGCTAGTATTTAGGGTTTAGTATGTCATTTTGTGAGAAAAATGCAAGTATTGAGACAGATACGGATATTTAGTACCTATGTCAGCTTTGTGAGAAAAATTAATTTAATGTTCAATATAATAAATGATAAATAAATGCTATAATTATAATTAAATTTCGTAACTACTTGAAAAATGCACTTTAAAATGATTAATAATCAAGATCTCTCTAATTAATAACGGTCAACTTTATCTATTGTAACTAAGCCCAATAAAAATAATTATAAAATTATATGAAATTATCACGAATAAATTTAATAATAATAATTAATTAAAATATGGGGTAGATAACCTGATTTAATAAATTTAAAATTATTTGACAATTAGAAATCCTCTTTCAAACCTTAAATTGCTCAATTCCCTTCTACTTTTCTTGTTCCAAACTTTCTTTCCATGTCATAAGTTCATTCATTACTTTCTTATAATTGAAGATTCATCGTTGTCAAAAATAAATATTTTGTACTCAAAATAGTCTTGATAATCTTTTTGTATAATATTAAAAACGTAGTATTTTATGTATTTTTGTGATTTTTAATATAAATAATTAAAATATAAATTAAAAAAAATTAAGAGATGTTGATTTTACCTTATATAAGATTATATATTATTCTAAGTAGAATATGAATTAAAATATAGAAAATACTTGCATGCTTTTGAAATTTACAATTAAGAAAATTCATAAAACTATTTCAATTTGTAAATATCTCATCAATTATGTCTAATCTTAATCAGAAAAAAGTCAGTGATCATAGAAATGAAAAAAAAATTAACATGAAAAATCCGAAAATATTTACACTACTGAGTAAAGAAGAGACATATTATAATGTGGAAAGAGTCCGTGTAGAAACTGTAACATTTAAGAATAACATCATTAGATGTAAGAGAGTATAGGTAGGTTACATTATTAATTTGGATAGTTGACAAAAATTACTGAATAATACCAAAGAAGTTTAAATTCCTGATCATGTTAGCTGAATCTAAACCTCTGTGAATGAAATTTTGAATGTGGCAAATGAAATGGTTGGTTGATAATCTTTTTTGTCCATCACATGTAGAGCACACACACATTGCATCCTTTTCGTCAAAAGAAGCATACAAATCATCTGTGTCTTTCTCTTCTTTTTGGCGATGACACGTAGGAAGAGAATCTGTGAAGAAAAAAGACAGAGAACCTCTCAGGTCTATACGCGTGCTTTTAGAAGTGAATTTAAAATCGTCTGTGTTATTTTTTAAATTGAAATTATTCTTTTATTTGATAAAAGATATATTTTAATATTATGGTGAGTTATTTTGATAAATATTTATCTTTAATTAAAGAACAACATTAGAAATAAATGTAAAGAAATGTAGCGTAGTTTATTGCTAATGGGGTGGCATGAACAGGGGAAAAAAGAAGTAAAGAACTATGATGAGCTTTATCCCCTCTTCACGGAATCCTTTAACCAAGTTGAAGATGCAATGCTAACTCAAACGATCTCGTTCACATTCCTTTTGAACGCTATTCAAAAAGATGGAATTTGAGGCTAAAGTAAGGAATTCAAAAAGAGCATAGAATTGTAAGTTGAAGTGCTGCCCAATTTGCCTCTCGAAGGATTCCTCATGCTCATGGCCCCATTATGGGATTTTTATATTTTTTTTATTTATTTGTGGGGCTTTCTTTTCAACTTACATCCGTTTTGGCAGCGTTAACTTTGTCTTCGCGTGCTCAGAATGAAGAATAAGAATATGGATTTGATTTTGATTTTGATTTTGATGGATCTTTTATTCTTCTTCTTCTTTATTTATTTATTTATTTATTATTTGCACCCTTTTGTATGGAGAAGGGACGGCGTTCCCAACAATTCCTTATCTCAACCCCACGCGATAAGATAGAGCAATTTCCATCTTGTTTTTTGCTTTTACGCATTTGGTTTTGTCATAAGGAATAATATTTAGTAATTTAAAACTAGTTTTTTTTTTATTAATTAGATAACGTTTGTTAGTTAAGGATTTTCTTATTAATAATCACTTTCTTCTTAAAATTTCAATTATATTTTTAATATTTACCTTACACAAAAATACTCAATTCTATTAGGCCCAAAGCTTAATCTTGAAGACACAAGTAGTCAAATTCACCGGATCAGTTTCCCTTTTTTTTTTTTTTTTTTTTCCGAAAAGATTTTGGCTTCCCCTTCCTCAAATCACTTACAATTACTGGCTGCATGTTTGTTCTGGATTCTGTGACTTCTGTCCAACAGAAAACCACGTTTCATGCAAAAGTGAGTATTTTTCCTTTTAATAAATGTAGATGGGATATATTCCATTTTTTTTTATTTAATGAAGAGAGGTATATGTATTATTATTATTATTATTATTATTAAGGGTCTATATCCTTTCCTTAAGACATATTTAAATCCCAATTGAAGTGTTTTTAAGTCATTGTTTAGAATTTTTAAAATAGTTTGTAATTTTTACAAGTTATTTTGAATATATTTTAATAATTTTTAATTAAATTTAAATCACGATTTATAATATTAAAAATATTATTTAATAAGTAATTATCCAAACGCATTCCTAATGTATGTTTACATAGGTACGCATTTATTAGTTTAATTATTCCAGAGAAAGAAACATCTTTTGAAAGAATTTTAAAATATTTTTTTTCAGTAAATAATTTGTTACCGGACATATTTTAAATTAGATTTTATAAACTTGATACGATATAAATTTTTTTTAAGAGTAAAGTTAAGTTCGAGTGAAGAAATTTATATTTGAAAACATTTATTTGTCGGTATACAGACAAACTGATATTGAAGGCAAACTTTGTTTTCCCTGAAAATATGTTAAACACATTGATACATTCAATACATGCTAAGTGAAGAAACTGGAAGTTAGAGGGTTTCATTACGAAACTAAATACACACCTAGGGCGATAAACAAATAATTCTATATTCTTAAAAAAAATTAAATTAAGAATAATTAAGATTTTGATGAAAGATAATTGAAAAGGCTTTATTCTTTTTTTTTTTTAATTTGAAATTTGATTGTATTTTAATGTATGGAAATTAATAAATAATTAATATTTAAAGTGTATAAATAGTTGAGATTTCTGCTCACAGTTTATAATTTAATCTCAACTTAGTATAATGGTTGCATGGACTCATTACTGCGTATTGGTGATCACCAAGATTGGTTATCCTATTTTTGATCTATCTCTATATTCTGTCTTAGACATATATTAGGTCATTTATTATTCTCACTTCTTTTTTAGTCGCAACGAACGCGGAGAATCCCGACTCTAAGTGGAATGCTTTTACTTTGGAATAAAAACCGTTGACATCCCTAATTTTAATTAGGTTATCATTTATAAAATTAACTACAAAATTTTCATTTGTAATTGATAAATTAATTAAAATTTTATAATGTATAGTTATAAGTTTACACTTTATATCATAATTAACTCATTAACGTACTAATTGAGTAAAACTAAAAGGTTGTAACTTGTAAGTGTTTTGAATGAACATAGATTGTTTAAACAGTTAAAAATTAAAAATGACAGGTAATTAACTTTTAACAAACTGTATATTATTTAAAGTATTTTTTTAATTAACTTCAAAAAATTATAAACCATATTTAAGTTTGTTCATCAATTAACTGTGTTAGTTTATTTATTAAAATTATAAATTTGTGTTACTAAACCCATTTTCAATAATTTTTTTGTCCTGTGTGAATGAAATGAATCTGAACTCTTGATTAGTTCCCCTTTGACTGCATGAATATGGTAATTTTTGGCCGATCATACCCAAGAAATCCACGTCAAGCATAAAAAGTACCCTTTTTTTTTAATCAATTTTTTGAAAAATTCAAACAATATCTCAATTAAAAAGCTAACAATAAAAACAATGTTACAATTAAATGAAAAATTATGAAATATTGTTTTTAATTGAAATATAAGAAAGAGGATTAAAAGGGTAAGTTATTTGAATCTCTTTGATAATAAAATTATTTAGAGTGCTCTTTAAAAATAAAAAGGTATTTATAATATTAAAAATCACTAATATTTTTAAACACTCCCTAACTAATACTCTTTTAAACATTAGTTAGAATTCTTAAAAAAAAAAAAATACAAGCAAACCTCTTGTATGAATGAGAACGAAAGGTTGCTCAAAACATTTGCCACCACTCACAATTGGCAGACTTTGGTAGAATAATCAAACAGCGTTTCTGAGCCAGTAAAATTGGCTAGTGATAGCAAATTTCCACACAACAATTACATATAAAAGAAATTTTCAAACCCTATGTATAGTTGTCTATGCTTTACAAGAACAAGCAAAATTTTCATTTTCATATATCGCAAAGGCACTATAATTACAGTTGCACAAGGAGTAGCTAGCCAAGAAACACAAGTAGAAGCTCCCATGGTCATGCAAGGAATTAAAAAAACCGCAGCAGACCAGAAACACCATTGGACCATACCCACTACGACTCTTTGATTTAGTACCCTAAATTTTCTAGTTGTGTCTCGGCAAAAATCTGCAAATGTCAAAAACTTCATTGCAGATGCTGCCCAAGACACTAAAACATAACCTAAAAAATATTACAAAATATAAATATACATACTACTAACCCAACAACATAGTAATCTAAACCATTCAGAGACAACGATCACAACGAACGATTTGATTGTCATATAGCAGCCCAATCAATCTCCACAGAAGGGTACTTCTCCAACCCAAAATTCTCCATTTCATTAGAATCCGAGAAATCCGAGAAATCCAAGAAAGTAACACCGGATTCAGGCGAAGAAGAACCGGGTGAAGATTCAGGCGACAACGTTGGATTCTCCACCTTAAAATCCTCGAACTCTGGAAAATCCTGTTGACCGTTGAATTGTGCCACGTCAGAGTCCAACTCATCCAGCGAAGGAGCTTGTATCACAGGCTTTACATCTTCAACAGAGGGAAAGGGTTTTTGTTTTTCATTCCCCTGTTTGCGCGAAACGGCTAAGCTTTCACAAATAGCTTGGAGCTTGGAATCGACGGCAGAAGGTAGAGGCTTGTAATCTCCGAAATCGCCAAAAACAAAGGGTCCATGGTGCTTCAGATGAGGGAAATTGAGGCGTGCAAATTCACCTCGAAGCTTAAACGCTGCGTTGTCGTATGCCAACGCTGCTTCCTCTGCGGTGTCGAATGTTCCAAGCCAGAGACGGGTTCGATTCTTTGGGAGTCTTATCTCAGCCACCCACTTCCCCCAATGTCGCTGTCTCACCCCACGGTACAGCTTCCCGGGTTTCGCGCTTGTGCCAACGTGCTTCATAGGAACGCGCTTTGGGGCGAGAAAGCTTTGGTTTTGGTTTTGGTTTTGGTTTTGGTTTTGGGGTTTGAACGAACCCGCGTAGAGCTGCTGCTGTTGCTGCCGAATTTGGATTTGGGTTTGAATTTGAAGAATTTGAGATGGGGTGAGTTGGTTGAGCCCAAGGGAACTAGATTGGTTGGAGAAGATTGGGTTGGGATACGATTTGGGTAGTGTGTGTGATTCCCGTGAGAGAGAAGTTGATGAATAATCACTTTTCAAAAAAGGTTTAAGTGCTTTCATCAGCTCTTCACTATATGGATCTAAGAAATCCGGTGCTATGTTGCTATTATTATTGTACATATCTATAGTTGTTCCCATGCTTTACAATATCAAAACAAGTTACCAATCTAAAAAATAAATCAAAGGTTACTAAGTTTTAAGTATACCAACAGAAGAGAGCCTGTCTCAATTCCAAAACTAGAGAACAGGAAGGAGAAAATTGCAAGAATAGCTTTTTTTTTTTTTTAATTAAAGATGAGACTCTAACAAATTAAAAAAACGAAAAATTAAAAACCTGTATGTTTTCCTGAATCGGCTAGGTTGAGGAACAAGCCTTGAGGTGTGTGGGTTGGCTTTGTTTTCACGAAGTGGGGTATAAGAGAGAGAGAAAAGGAGGAAAATGAGCTGAGAGAGGAAAGAGGAAGGAGAAAGGTTTGTGTATCTAAATTTTGTTTTCTTTTTTGAGTGGCCTCACTTCACTCTTGCATTCCCTTGCTTACCCTTTCCTCATTTATATACTAAAGTTTCTTGTTCTAGTTTCGTTGTTTGATTCACTTGCCGCGTCAACTTCAATAACACCTTTATTCCGTCATGCCTATCTATTTTACACGTGTCAACTACCTATTCGCACGACTTGTCTAAATTCTTTTTATTCAATAAATCAAGGGTTAGTATAATACATGGCTTGTTAGCATAATTTGTTAAAAAAATATATTTTTATTAAATATTTTAATATTTAATAAAATTTTATGTTAATAAATAACATTTTTAAAATGAAAGTGTATTGATTTCTTAGAAATATATCGTCACCCTATCCGTTGTTGAACAAAGAAAAATTCAAACTTTCACAAAAACAAAAAAAAAGTCTACGTTCAATTGTCTTCTCTAATTATTTGTGTTAAAATATCAAACTACATGTCACTCATTTTGATTATTTCACCTCCAACAATAATACGGACGACTGTTATTATCCTGAATGTTTTGGTTCAATGCTAGTCATTGTTCACGCTCTCAAAAACCTGACTTTACCTTGTATGATTATCATAATGCTAGATTAACACGTCATGAATAAAAATTATAGTTGACCCACCAAATATAAATAATTTTAATAAAGAAATGAATGTAAGTTAAATAAAATATTTGATTGATATTGAAATGGATAGTTAAAAGTAATTATGAAATAAAAATTATCCTGAATATTTGAATGAAAGAGTGGAGAAGAGATGGTGTGATGAATTGCGGCGCGAGAATAATGATAAATAAGGAAATTAGGTCCCCAATTTTGTATTTGTGGAGAGGGCATTTTAGATTCTATTCCTTTCGTGTTAGCCAAAGGTCACCGTGGACTCCTCTCCATCGCTCCTATTTCTAAATGTTTGCATGATTACCACTTCAATTGCATTAATGTTGAATAAAATTAATTTTGATATTTAGAAAAAAAAACTGAAGTAATTAAAATTATGTATTTAGTTAAATTTAAATATAAAAAAAGTTACAAATTTGAACCAAACTAGTTTGATATACATTAATTATTTGATTTGGAGGATTATCAAGTTCTTTTTAGAAAGCAAAATTTGAGCATATGATTATTTATATTTAGATGTGATAATATTCATAATTACAAAATTATATGAATATTTATTTATATTATCTTATTTAACATAAATAATATATAAGTATACAGAATAACCATTCATAATATGGATATATTTCAACAAGCAAATAATTATGAATTGAATTTAGAAAAAACATGGAGATTCTATATATACGAACGTTTACGTGGGACCTGCCCCATCGTCCTTGACACGCTCACACGTCGATTCCTACGTGGAAATCACTTTCAAAGAACGCAAAGCAACTCTCACAACTACTGCAACGTCTTAAAATGCGACTTGTTTGTTCCGTTGTGTAGTTATGTATCTCTATCATCCATGCTTCTCTAGTTCCTAATTCCATTTTCATGTGCATTGTTTACCACAATTTTCCATAGCTGACTACGACATTTTTCTTCTTCTAAAGTATAAGATAGAGAAAGCGACTTTGACATGAGTGCTTCATTACGTATATATCATAGCCCAACGAAAGAAAATTTTTTTTTAAAATTTTTTTATAAAATTTATTATGGGCTACAATCAATTGTAATTATTTTTATTTTATTAAAAGTAGACTAATATTGTGATCTATTTGATGATGTTTAAGCTTATTAATAATATTATCAATTACTCATAAGCTTTGAATTTGGACACTTAATACTTATCTATGTGAGATATAGTGTGGGTCTAATCTCTAGGTTCATGATAAAAAGTGTCTGGAGTTAATAAATGTGATGACTAAGTCTTCTTTGTTATCATGGAAACACATTTCACTGCTCTCTATATTTATCCTATTGAGAACTTAAGATAAGGAGAGCGTGAATACTCAAAGAAAAATCTTAACTTTTCACTCACGAAAGAGTTTGTATTTTATGTAGGTCATTTACGATACAATTCACAATGTCTACAACGAGTAAATGGCTTTACTATTGCCTTCACAATTAGTATTCTAAATTTATATAATTAGATTTAACTCAATTATTCCTATATTTGGTATTAGAGCCTTAATTATATGATTTCAAATTCAATTATTAACTTTAAATTAATCTATATTTAGATTAAATTATGCAGTATGTATTTTTTTTTCTGCTTATATCGGTGATTTTCAATGCTTAAATTAAATAAACTTCAATTTCAATATTGAATTATTGCCTATGTCATCTGCATTGTTAATATATATATATATATATATATATATATATATATATATATATATATGTGGAAGGATCTTCTTAAACTAGTGTAAGTCTAAAAATCTTACACATAATCTGAGTCTTTCATTTAATTTAAATCTAACAGCCAGTGAAGTAATAAATTATAACCTATTAGATTTAAGTTAAATAAAAGGTTCAGATTAGGTATAAGAGTTTTTATACTTACACTGGTGTAAGAAGATTCTACCCCTATATATATATATATATATATATTGTAATTTTATTTCTAAAATTGAATTGTTGCCGCTCTAAATTATTTGTTGAATGAATGAATTTAAATTCACATACATTGTTGTGATATTAATTTGATATCCAATATTTATGTATTACTACTGTTATCTTTATTATTTTTAATTTTAATTTGATGCATTGTTGTAGTGTGATGTTTTGTGATGTTTTCAATCTAATATTTGTGTCATTATTATTGCGACTGATGCAATATTTTTAATATGATATTTGTTTTATTGTTACCGTGTTTCTTGCAAATTTTTTCGCTGTTGTCATGTTAATATTTCAAATTTTGAATTCAAAATATTTTGATCAATTTTTTTAATTGCAATTTTGGATTACATGTATTATGTTGCTTTCTAAATTTTGAAGTATATGATATTCTTTTGTTGAGTCGATTGTCATGTTTATATGAATTTTATGCATTTCTGATTTCAAATTTTGAATTTAGTATTTTATTGTTATACTATCATAATATCTGATACGTTTTTGTGCTGCAAATTTTAATGTATTGTATTATGTTATGTTATTGCCATTCATAGTTGATTTGTCAATTTTATAACATATCAAACTTTGTAATCGTTGTTTGTGTGCCATTATCATTTAGGGCCAATTTTGAATCACATGTAGATTCTGTTGATATATATAATATATATCATAATATTTGATTTCTTTTTTTTTGCTGCTATTTTGTTGTGTTTTTGAATTTATTGATTTTTGCCTCTACTATTATTTGAATATGCGTTGATAATTTTTTCCGTTTATATGTTTAACATACCTTAATTGTGGAATTACATAATTCAATGAGTATTTGTTGGACATATTTTAATTTAAAAATTTCCTGATTCAATGTGGATGTCATATGGCCATTTCAATTTTGGATGAATTACATTATGTGTGCGTCTCCCATAGCCAATTTCAATTTTTTTTAATTACATTCCGCAAATCAGCTCTCCATTGTTACTAGCGCTTCAATTTTAATTTTTAATAATTGAATTATTCTGTCATTGCCTACAACAAATTACTATGCATTTTGTTTTCAATTGATTTGTATGATCCAATATTTATGCAAATATTGTTGGCAATTGCAACTGCTGAGCGGTTACTTTGAACTATGTGATGCAATCCTATGTTGACCCTACTGCCATACGTGGATATTTTGCTACCACAAGAGTTAATAATCAAAATAAATTAAAATTAAAGTTGAAAAGAATCAAACATGATACTAGGATCGTGTTCGACCAACCCTGACATTATTAATTTATGTCATATGTTTTGTGGTAAATTATATATTATTTTGTTTTGTATAAAATAATATTTAAGCTTGCATTAATTATCATTGTTATATGTTAATATTTTTTAGTTACATATAATTAAGGGGATATGTAATGTCACTACACGATTGCAATATTGATGTTGCTATCATGTACTTTAATAATTATGTGAGTTTCTACTTCCATTGTAGTATTTCTTTTTTCTACTGTGTTGCGATAATGCGTTTCTGACGCTACTATTATGTTGTGTGTTAACTTTGATATTTAATTTAATTCTTGAATTTTATTGCTTCCGCTGCATCATAAATGCAATTTTGGAGATTTGAATTATTATGCATTTTTTTGTTTTTCACTATTGTCAATTCAAATTTTGAATTCCATGTTCTATTGCAATTTTTCAAATTTTGAGTTAGTATTGCAATCTTTCAAATTTTGAAATTCAAATTTTATGGTCAAAGGAGTTAATTTGTTGATGTAGCTATTAGAGGTAATATATTTGTCCAGAGGAGATAAAATTTGAACCTAGCATGTGTTCATTGAATAGCTCATTTTAAAATTTATAGATGAAGTTATTGAAGGTACATGGATCAAGAAAATCTATCTACTCAAATGGGATAAGTTCTTAAATCCATTGTATGCTTATTGAGTAACTTATCTGAGGGACACTAGTGATCTTGGTTTACGCATTCTGCCAAAAGGAGAATGTATAATTATGTTGACTTACATTGATTTAAGTTATGCATTACAGTTATTACATATTTTAATACAAAATTAATTTATCACTATTATTGTTATAAGTTTTAGTTTCTGCTACTATAACTTAGATATTGTGTTTCTAAGCACTGTTGTATTCAATTTTCTTATTTGATTTTGTGTAACAAAATTATTTTTAGTATTTAGTATTTTTTTAATATATAATTATAACTATTTAAGTGTAAAACATATTGAGAATGCGATTAATAATTAGAGCAACCGGGGGCACGACGGGACGGCGATAACAAGGAGTCGCCACATAAGTTTATTAAAGAAAAATATTGGAAAAACTTTTAATAAAATAATCTTCGAAACCATGTTTGAGCTCGGGAGTCGTTTACGCATAGAGAAGATATTAGTATCCTACGACGTCCATTGATTAAAACGGTTACTTTCTAACTAATTGTGCAAAAATCATTTC